TAGCGACAATCATTTCTTTAAAGACATATGTACTTGATCACATTTAGTTTTTATATTTGATATATACACGGTATTACACTTTATGAATGATTGTTTTCGATTGTCAATGTTTTATTCATAATTGTGTTCCCTTGGATTTATGTTGTCAATAAGTAAGTGGGAGCTTATATGATATAACATAAGGTCCTAAAATAGCCCCAATCAATGATCATCAAGAATGGGATATTGATGATATGCGATAAGATTGGTATGTGGACTGCATCATACTTTTAGAAAGTATAGTTGATCTCACGACTATGAGTTCCTGTAATTCATGATGGTCACATAGATATTTTAGAGAATATTGGCATACCCACCGAGAAACCATTTGATAAGTTCTATTCATGTGTCTATGGGATTATCGGCGTATAGAGTAGTGTAATAGTCCTCCGACTTGAGGTCAATACGTACTACATGTGCGGAGTGATGTACTTTGACCATGACCAACGCTTGCACTCCAATCGGGGTAGATACGGCATGTGTTGGGTGCATCACGAAGCACATGGAGTAGTAGTTGAGCCAAGAAAGGATTCATTCCTCATAATAGATTAAGAGAGAACATTCTACTTCTCATATCTAGATGGATCATAAAGTCATTGGCCAATGCAGAGATATATTCGTTTTGGATATCGAATATGATCGTTATGGATCATCTAGAAAGATTGATAGACAGAGACTGAGTTATTGGGATAGACACTATATCATATTCTAGACTTAGTTGAATGTTCGCTGAATGAAAGGACCGTATCACTATGAGCTCTATATTACAGGGAGTTTGTATAGTCCTCGCAAACGTCCTTATATATTAAGTTTGTCTGGAGAATCGTCTAGGGATTCGCTAAGACCTTAATTTGATTAGTGCTTAATATATAAGGCCCTGTGGGTCACACAACAAGTGATTATACCTTCCGGTTGAATTGTTATAAGGAATTAAATATTATCAATTGGATTAAATAATATTTAATTCGTAATACTGAAAATGAATTAAATATTAATTAGATTAAACATATTTAATTCATGAAGCTGAAGGAGAGTTCTATTTGATAGAATTAATTAAGTAAGATAAATTAGATTTATCACACTTAAATAAGATGTATTTATTATTGAATAAAGTAGATATTTTCTTTTGTAATTTGGAATTAAAAGAAAAGTAAATAAAATAAATATTAATATATAATAATTAGAAAGTGGCGTGCAGCCACATCTCAATTATTATTATTATTATTTTGTTTTGTTTTATCTACTTATTTAATTAATTAGGAGTTTTGGTCCTAGTAGGATTAGAACTCATTAATTAGAAAGACTTTCATTGTGATTGAGAAACTAGTTTCGAACTAGTATAAATACATCCTTCTCCTTCATAATTTGTAGACCAGTTTTCAGATTCAGTATTACCAGTTTATTTCCCTGCGAAGAGATTTCCTAGCCTTTCTCTTAGGGAGATCTAACCGTTCTTTCGGAAAGGAGAAATCACGTGGATACCAAAGGTCAAGGAATATCACCGCTAGGCTGGGAGATCTGTAAGTTCTAACTCAAATCTGTTATTATTATCATATTCGTTATTTTGTCATAATCAGGGAAGATCTGTTTGGGAAAATTTTAAACTTCCGCTGCCGTACTTTCGAGGTACGTTACATCAATTTCCTAACAATAAGTGCATGCACTCGACTATCAAGATACGCGCATGTGCTCAACCGCCGCATATGTGCATGTGCATGCAAATCCAACCATGTCTTCTTCAATCGAGAGGGTACGAAAAGTTATTGTCATGAAAACATGTTGGAAATTGTGAAAAAAGTTGTCACTGAATCAACATATAGGGGAAGTCAAAGCATTTCTGGATTGTGAGGTGTTTATTGTCTCGTCCGCGACCACTTGCAGTGTCTTGTCTATCTAGATTGTAGTTCAACCAAGTGTGTGTCATTGTTTATAGTTTATGTCGTGGCAGTGGGGTGGGACGAACCCTTGGGTGTGAGTTTGCAATATTTAGGTCCAAGCCCATTCAAGATGTTAACAACAGGAACCTCTTCGGATAGGGGACTTTGAGCAATTTGAGTGCTAATACATCAGATAGAACACTCCTTTTAGCCAGATATTGCGTGATAATCTGATTGCCTTTGGTAAATTGGTAGTCCTAAGAAGTGTAGTTTTGAGTGAGATGATGCATCTACGGGGTGTGTGGCATAGGCCAGACTCAATTCATCCCACGACAGGCATGCGGTTGATGCAGGCGTGTGGCATGGTATTTGAATAGTTACCAAGTAAGGGACTGGAAATGGTTTTGACCTGGCGGTACTAGATAGTATAACATGGGTTCATTTGAGATTTCCCAGCATCCGTAAAATGGTCTGGTGCTATGATAGTGTCATCAATGTATCCTTCAAGCCCAAGTCCAACAAAATCGATATGACATTGGAATTTCCAAACAGGGAAATTAGACGCTGTTAACTTGATTGGGAAGTTTGCAAGATCAGTAAGCTAGATGGCGCGGGTATCAGTGGTGATGGCCATGGAAAAAATTAAACTCGTTAAAGTATGGTTGTTGATATCATGTTAAGATTGAATTATATTTATCATAACTAACGATACAATGTACACTTGGGTATATATACACATGAGTGGATAGAGCCGCTCTAACTATCTAGCTAATATAATGAGTGTGGCTACAAAGTAGGAGTTTAATGCACATCAAGTAATCTTCATTACAATTGAGTAACAATTTTTTGTTAAAAGCAAACACTCCACACTTCATTAATTCAATGCATCATTTTCCCATGCGTTAGCTCAAGGGCCTACTATAAAATTTGGCTGAAAGTTAAAACTACTATCAAAATCTGCACTTGAAATGACCGCCCTTGCTAATGCATTGGTAACATGATTCGCTTATCTTCTACACACTGAGCTCCAAAACCTTCAACTCACGAAGAGCAAAATGCTTATATATGCCAGAATCAAGTCGACATAAGTAGCGCCCTGCTCTTGTTAAGAGCTCACCTTATTGCCTCCTTCACCCCAGCTTCATGTTCACATGGTGACCATTTTGTTTTTACAGTTTTTCATCAAGCTTTGTTAAATCAGCCAGAACACCTCTAGCAATCAACCCCATGCTTTATGATGCCCACCACTATTCAACGCAACATCAACATAAATTTTGACCCACCCTTTCTCACGACTTGCCCCATTTGGATCCCCCATTGCAATTCCGCATCAGGCTTCTATCCTGAAGACTACGCAGCACGCCACCTGCCTATCAGAGCATCTGATCCGCGCTCCCCTTCCAAACGGTCTCATTGTTTTTCTTCCACGTACTCCACAACATAATAAATCCGCAGTATTCTCCTTTGATAATCTGTTGAAAACTCCCTCTACCCACCTTAATAAATCAGTCACAGCACTAAAAAAATTGGCTAAATCCGGTTTAAAAGATGCGATTTAATTTTTGTTTCTTCCCGTAACGTTTTATTTTTTCTAGAATCAGAACTACTCGGATAGACAGAACTGCTTCTGCTCCACATCAAAACTGCTCGGAAAGAATCGCTTTTGCTCCGCACCAAAATTGATCGAACATAACACCTTTGCTTTGCATCAGAACTGCTCCGACCAGAAGTCTTCTGCTCAGCATCGGAACTGCTTGGACCAGAAGTCTCCCAAAACGTTACAAGAGTTATTGTCAACGTTCTTCCCCTTTAACGCTTCTTTAAATGGACATTCTTTCGACATATTAATGCCCGACATTCTGGTCATTTAAGTCCAATGTCCAGGTCCATTAAAGCCCACTTAACACACAACAAATCCGACAATATATATAGTTGGCAGGTGATTTGCAACAACACACGTCCAACACGAAACTAAACACAGTTTGCACGTACTTTCTCAGCTAAAAACACCTCCAGCTATCTCTGGGAAATTTCGTTGGTGTTCATACTCGATTTCCCTTCTTGTTTCTGTTTTCTTGGTTTTTTTTATCCCGGAAGGCCAACCACCAAAATCAGTGGGGTAAATGCCGGGAGTCATTTACTGAAATTTTATTAAAAGAGCAAGCAAACAGAAGAGAGGAGGACCAAACCAAAGCCTCTCAGAAAAGAAGTACAGAAATCAGGCCAACAACAAATATTTACCATCTAATAGAGGGAATGCTAAATTTATCCATATAAAAAGCTCTCCTAGCACGGGCCGAAAGTGCAGTTGGGCCAAGAAACTTTTGAGTTAAGCCCATTTGTTCCCAGGCCAAATAGTGAGCTGTCCAATTGGCTTCGCACTTGACATGTCCGATATTCAAGCCATTCGTCTTCATTTTCAGCCGGGTTTCCTGAATCAGATTAAGCCACCGCCTAGCATCACCGTCGCGTAACATATCCAGAGCTAAAGAACAATCGGTTTCCACCTGAAATCCAACAAAACCATCTTCCACCGCCCTTCGTATTCCTTCAACCAACGCCAGTAGCTCAGCTTCAACTGGGGAGGAAGCTACAAGGGGAAAGCTTATAGCCCAAATCAAATCACCTGAGCCATTTCTTGGCTATTTTTATTAATTAATTTCTTTATTTTCCGATTAAACATGCACTTAACACAACATTTCCAAGCTCCACCATTAATGTCCAACCTCATCCCTAAGACCATTTGTAGTAGTGGGGAGACAAAAATGTTAAAATTGATTCCGTCCGTATGAAAATATTGTTTAGACTCTTATTTTTATGTATTCCAGCATCGTTAACAAAATAAACTCATCATATTTTTTTACAAACCAATTTAGTAAATCATTAATAAAATTATTATAACTAATGTTTTTCTTTTAATTTTTTCCTTGAATAATTATCAAATAAAAAAACCATTTAGATTTAAAAAAAATAAATTTCAATAGTTTTTTAACGTTTTTCCGTTAACAAAAAATGAATTAAAAGTAAAGTTTCATTAGTTCAAGTATAGTTCAATTATTAAATATTCAGTTATTTGTGGAGGGCCATGAATTAAAAGTTTGTGTTTCATGTTGCATTTTACACTATTCATATGTTCTACTTTAACTATGTTTTATTGATTAATGTATTACGAGTAATATATTTTTTTGAAAAAAAATGTTGTTAAATTCTTCTCATTGTAAATTTTCAAAATCTATTTTTTTAAATTTTTTAAGGAAAACTGTCAAATAGGTATATACCGACATGGAAGTCCACGTGTCAATACATTTTATTTTTTCCATTTCTTTTCTATTTGCTATTTCTTTCATTGTTTTTCTTTCCCAGCTGACTTCTTCTTCCCGGATGCATCACCCAGTTCTTATTTCCTTTCTATCTGTAGTTCTGTTCAATTTCTTTCTTGATTTCTATCCCTGGATTTCTACATCACCTCATATTCTCTCCTTTCCACTGGCTTTTCTTTCTTCATCAGCGGGGAACAGTGATCGGTGAAGGTGTTGCACTGTTGCCGACAAGCAGCAGGCAGCAAATGATATGGGAGATGTGAAGGCGCACAAGCCTGGAGATGGTTGTGGGCAACCAGAGGCGAGAGACAGCGGTCGAGATCGAGTCAAGGATGTTGTGGGTGAAGGTCTATAACGGCTAGGTAAGTTATGGTTGTGGGCTATCGGTGGTGATGAGGACGCGGCAGCAGTTGGGGAACTCGTGGTTGCTGGCGGTTGAGAGAGTTGAGGGTTACAGAAGGATGCTCTAATTTGATGGAAAGAAAAAAAGAAATAAATGCGCAAAAGAACTAAGTAAGAACGCAGGGAAGAAGAAATGGTCAACGAGGAAGTGAAAAAGGGGAGAATTTGCGTGGATTGCCACATGTGTATGTCACCTGTTGACCAGATCTCAACCCGGTAAGACTATGTTTGTCAAGCATAAGTCTCTATCTTCTAGCTTTTGTATTGTTCAAAAAGTTTCTAAAAACTTCTAGTTATATGTTTGGCATGAAAATTTTTAAGAATTTTTTGAAAATTAAAAGATATTTTTTGAAATGTTACAGGGAGTAGCATTTGAAAAAAGCCCGTGACTTTTAGTAATAATTAGTCCTAACAGCTTGTATACCAAACCGAACTACAATAAGTAGAATCCAGCCAGCTTCATTATTAGGAGCTCCCGCATCTCCTCACATTTACATTGTAAAAAAAGAAGTCATTTTCACCTCCCGTTCGCTGTCTACTAAATGAGCCTTCACTGCCCGCCCGGGCCGCATTTCAAGTTAGTGTAGGGTCCAGCCCTAATATAGACGTAAATCAAACAGTCAGCTTTTTACCAAACAACTAATACATTTTTTTAAGATCTTTTCAGTTAGTGGTGGACTCGGGCCGGGCCAACCGGCCCGGAACCGGACCGGCCCGCTACTGTGCGGGCCCGGACCGGCCCGCTACTGTGCGGGCCCGGACCGGCCCGGTTCGTTGGTTAGGTCACGGTTCGGGCCCGGGCTTATAAGTTGGTGAACCGGCCCGGCCGGGCCGGGCCCGGTCCGGGCCTCAACGGTCACAAAAATAAAATAAAATTTTAAAAAATTTGAAGCCTCTACTAGCCGTTGGGAGACCTCCCAAACGGCTCTATAGCTGTTGGGAGCATAGGAGGGGGGGTCTGGGGGGTTAGGGGGGGTGGGGTGGGGGTGGGGGTGGGGTATACAAAAAAAAACCTATTTATACTCCTATTTTCTATACATTTTTTACACCTACAACTCTTTCTACTCTCTAAAATCTAAATTCTCTATTCTCTTAATCTCTCATATTCAATCATCTTCATTCTTCATCTTCTCCAAATTCTTTCTACATATATATAATTTATATAATTATTATATCTACTTATATATTATAATATCAATTATCTACTTATAAATATATACTTATACACATTCATATTATAATTCTTTACGCATTATATTATATACTATATATTGTTATACATATATATTATATATTACTTATAATATATTTACACATTATATATTTATATATACTATATATAGTTATACATTATATTATATATTACTTAGAATATAGTTATACATTATATTATATATTACTTATAATATATTTACACATTATATATTTATATATACTATATATAGTTATACATTTGATTTATATATACACTTCTCGTTTATCTATTTAATTACTTAATTGTTTCATTTTTCATATTAATATTAGTTAAAGTAGTTAAAGTTAATTGTTTCATTTGTCATATTAATATTAGTTAAACTACTTAATTGTTACATTTCTCATATTAGTTAATTGCTACATTTTTACATTTCTCATATTAGTTAATTGCTACATTTGTACATTTCTCATATTAGTTAATTAGTTAATTGCTACATTTTTACATTTCTCATATTAGTTAATTAGTTAATTGCTACATTTTTACATTTCTCATATTAGTTAATTAGTTAATTGCTATATTTTTACATTTCTCATATTAGTTAATTGCTACATTTTTACATTTCTCATATTAGTTAATTAGTTAATTGCTATATTTTTACATTTCTCATATTAGTTAATTGCTACATTTTTACATTTCTCATATTAGTTAATTAGTTAATTGCTATATTTTTACATTTCTCATATTAGTTAATTGCTACATTTGTGCATTTCTCATATTAGTTAATTAGTTAATTGCTACATTTTTACATTTCTCATATTAGTTAATTAGTTAATTGCTACATTTTTACATTTCTCATATTAGTTAATTGCTACATTTGTGCATTTCTCATATTAGTTAATTAGTTAATTGCTACATTTTTACATTTCTCATATTAGTTAATTAGTTAATTGCTACAATTTTACATTTCTCATATTAGTTAATTGCTACATATCTCATTAAAGTAAAAAAAACTAGTTAATTTTTACATTTCTCATATTAGTTAATTGCTACATATCTCATTAAAATAACAAAAATAGTTAATTTTTACATTTCTCATATTAGTTAAGTGCTAATATTTGTTCAATTTTAAATATGGAGCGAGGTAGACATTCTGTAGATGTGGGTAATCTCCAACGCAACCGCAAGAGGGAGATTGCATCGACTCGATCTACTTCACGCAAAGGCAAAGGTAAAGCGCGGGCCGAGTCTTCTTTTCAAAGTCGAGATGATTTTGAAACGGATTACCAACGGCGAGATAGTATGATGATGTCCGACGAGGAACTACAACACCTATTGTCCCAAAATGATCCACGTTTTGCACAAGAACAACAATTCCCGACAACCATCGATGAAGAGGAGCTCGAGGAAGAGGATGACGATGGGGAGGAGGACGCGGGGGGCGACGGGACTCCGGATGATGAGGAAGAGGACGAGGGCCCTTCAACGACTACAACCAAAATTGGTAAGAAATCTAAATCTAAATCTAAAATTATTGAAAACAATTTTACAAAAAGGAAAGACGAAAAAACCGAAAAATGGTACGCAAGTTGCAATCATTGCAAGAAAGAGTTTAGCTTGGGAATTTCTGGCGGATACGGGAGTCTCAAAAGACATCTTCAGTCCACCCACGTTGTGGAGTATGCGAAAATAGACAAAGGAAAGGGGAAGCAAACACAAATATCAAGGTTTGCAAATTCTCAACCCTTTGGTAATTTTTCCTATGATGATAAAAAACATTTGACTGGTATGTCTCATTTAATTGTTGAAGAAAATTTACCCTTTATTTTTTCCGAAAGTCTTTCTTTAAGAGATTATGCTCAAGGTACTTTAAATCCTCAATTTAGAAATTATAGTCGCAAAACGATTAAAAAAGAAGTTATAAGGCAATATAACTTGGAAAAAGAAAAATTACAAATACTTTTCACAAACTTTGATGGACGTGTTAGTATTTGTAGCGATATATGGGAGGATACTTATCATCATTTATATTATTTGGGTCTAACTGCACATTATATTGATGATGATTGGAATATGCATAAACGTGTTCTTGCTTTTCGTGAATTCAATGATCGTCACACTGCTGATAATATTTATATTCTCATTGAACGTATTTTAATTGAGTATAATTTGATTGATAAGGTGTTTGCTGTAGGTTTTGATAATGCTAGTAATAATACTGCTGCTATACCTAGATTACGTGAATTGTGTGGTGCTTCTACATTGATGGGTAGATTTTTTCATCAACGTTGTGCATGTCATATTCTAAATTTGTGTGTACAAGATGGCTTAGCGGCATTAGGAAATGCTTTGGAGGTAGTGAAGGGGGGAATTAAATTGATTTGGGCTAACACTCCACTAAAAATGCAATGGCAGCAATATTTGAAGGATAGACGCGTGAATTATTGTGCTTTTCCTAAAGATTTGTCTATTCGTTGGAATAGTACTTATAATTTAATTCAAGTACTTGTTAGATATAAAGATCATTTTCCAGCTTTTTTAAGACAAACTTGTAACTATATTATAAACCCGGCTGACATCGACACTTGTGAAAAAATTGTTAATGTTTTGGCATATTTTAATAACGCAACTCTAACTTTTAGTCATGTTTATAAACCTACCGCAAAAGAATTTTTTGTTGAAGCTGTTAATCTCGCCGGCGCTTTTTGTGAATTTTCCGACGCCGCTTACGTTAGTTATTTTTGTGATTTCATGAAACAAAAGTTTTTAAAATATTATTCACATATTCCGCATATATATGGTATTGCATTTGTTCTTGATCCTCGTTATAAACTTCCTTACTTGGCAAATTGTATAGATTACTATTATGCTTCTTTTTTTCCAACTCAAGAGTTCGATGATAATCCCATCGACCCTAAACAAGAATTCAACGAGGTTAGTAATTTATTTCATCAATTGTATAATGAATTTCATGCACAATATGGTAATGCACCCCCTCCCATGCAACGAACATCTTCTTCATCTAAAGGAAAATCACTTTTAAAATCCGCTTTTGGTTCTCTTTTGAAAAAAAGTAGAGCAACTCCCGCTACTGAACAAAGCTCAGGTAACGAGCTTTCTTTGTATCTAACATTGAATGTTGATTATGAAGTTGGTGATGACTTTGACGTTCTTAAGTGGTGGAAGGAAAATGAAAGAACATTCCCGATTTTATCAAAGATGGCTAAGTAAGTACTAGCAATGCCGATATCAACCGTTGCCGTGGAACAAGAATTCAGTGCGGCCGGCAACGTCCTAACCGATTTTAAAACGAGGTTGAGCCCGAACTCTCTTGAGACACTAGTTTGCTTTCACGATTGGTTGAAGGCCCAACGAAGAACTCAAGAAATTACCATCACTCCCTCCCGCCACTTTATGGAGGAAACAACCGAAGGCGGAGAGTCCGATTGATTTTTTATTACAAAATGTATTACATTTTTTAAATTCATCCTAATTCTCAATTGTACTTCTTATTTGAAATAAATATACTTCAATTCGAATATAATATATTGTAATTGTAATAAGATTTATTCTAATTATATAATAATTAAAAAAAAAATTTAAATAGGCCCGGCCCGTGAACCGGGCGGGTGACCCGAACCGAACCGGACCCGGGGTTATCCGGGCCGGTTCCGGGCCTGCCTTCCTAGAACCGAGGCCCGGCCGGGCCCAGGCTCGAACCGGGCCCAAACCGGGCCCGAACCGGCCCGAGTCCATTCCTATTTTCAGTCACTAAAAGCTAACAGTTAATAAAAAGCTCACAAGAGTATCTTTTCGACTAGTTGTGCCAAACATACCCTAAACTGTTAATTTGATTGTTTTTTAATAATTCAAGGACTTGATTAATTAAATAAAAAGTACGAGGATTCGATTGACTTTTTGATAATAGTACATGAACTTATTTGATAGATTTCCTAAAAAGTTAAAGTAAACGTGCCCCTGCTTCAATTCCTCCTGTGCCTTGCCAACAATCTCCCTGATTGTTAATTCGCGTCTCTCCTCGGAGTCCTCGGGTGAATGAAGGCACTTGCTTCCCACTCACTCGGTTCTCCCAATCCACTATCTCTCTTTCAAATACTAAAAAATGCTTAGGGTTGCAACATATTTGGGATGAAAACCTCAAATTTGGAGTTTTCATCCCACCCATTGCCGACAGCCTAAGGACTATAATTAGAAAAACTCATATTGACAGCCAAACCCATGGGCCATGGTGCTTTAGGGAATGGAATCCTCCATATTTTTGCACTAATCACATACGGAATATGGTAATTTATAAAATAACTCAAATACGAAGTATATGAGATGCTGCTAACGAAGTTTGTTACTATTCTGCTTGTCCAGTCTCCAGGTGTAGGTTTCTTAAGGCAGCCAGACACTCTTCACTTTTCTTCAACTCCAATTCACTTGGATTAAAGGTGTTGAAGGCATTCCCTTCCGTTCGCAACACAGAATGATCTGAAGATGTAAGGTTCATTTGGATTTGTTACTTTCAAGTTTTCCAAACCCGGATTGTCCCATCCACAGATGAAGTTATCATGCAACTGCCTTTTGGGTGATAACTTACACTGGTTACCTGAATTCCAAAAAAAAAAGACCCAAGGACCTCAATCCAATAAATAGTAGAGAGAAAAATGATAAAACTTGAGTCTATGCAAATGGAACTATCGGTAGAAAAAATTAAAGGGATTTAAAGCTGGAATTTGATTTAATATTAGATTAGGAACACAGAGCAAACACCGAATTATTGAGCATAAGAACAACATTAGGCAAGGGCTCATTAATTATAAATACTAGCAAATATTTATTACAAAAATAATGTTCAAACAGAGCATAGGAGTAAGCAATAAATCTTCAAAAAACTGTTGGCAAATGCATTAAAAGAACAACTCACCATTATTTCATGAGTATCATAACTACGAATCTACGTTACAGTCGTATAAATCATAAATGGAATTCTAAATTGTTACATGCTATACATACTCCAATATACCATCACAATCGCACATTCTTACTCGACAACAGTCGAGGTGAGGTAGGGTTGTAACAAGCTGAGCCCGAAAATCCAAAGCTCGAGTTCCGCTCAGTTCACTAATAGTGTTGTTCCGGTTCGAGCTCGAAGCTCAACATTCATTACTTATGGGGTTCGACTTCAGCTTTAGAGATGTTCTATGTTTGATAAGCTCGATTAGCTCGATAAATATGCTCTGATGTAAAAGTTAAGCTTATGCTAGTCAGTAGGATTATTTAACATGTACCAATTTTTTTAATAATCAAATTTATGTTTATAAAACCACACTAAAGATGTTTAAATTTCAACATATACAAGTATATAATTCGTCCCTGTAATTTTCAGGTGTTTCAATAGGCTCAAGTTCAAACAGAATCGAGCACTACTATGCTCGAGCTCGGCTTGAATAAATATTTGAATTTAAAACCTGGCGCATGTTTGAGTTCAAAACTCGTTAAGCTCATCTCATCAGGTTCGAAATCGAGCACGAGCTTGAACAGTTTAAACAAAGCTCAGGTCATTAACAGCCCCAAGGTGCAAAAGAGTGGTAAAACATTTCCTGACCCAATTGCAGGACTGCATGCATGATACATACATTTGTATAAGTAGAGTAACATGAGGGAGAGAGGGACAGTAACACATGTTCAAATGCTTGATAAAATTACCACAGAAGAATGAGCTTTGAAACTGGATGTTACAGATGCATCAACCAGATCCCAGGAATAAACGAAACCATCTTCCGAGCCACCGATCACATGTGCATCGGTGTTTGTGAGACAGCAATCAGTTTTTGAAGTCTATGAAACAACAAATCTTAGTTAGAGTCTATCGATTAGCTCGAGGACAAAGGAAGAATGCATTCTTACTCCTTAACTGAATAACTACTCATTTTACTACTCAATTGTGCCTTAAAAGTTTGAAACAAATGTTATTAATTTGGGTTCATAAATAGGAAAACCATGAATAAAAAGTTAGGCATGCAACGCTTGACTTAGAACCTTGCAAGTATGTCCCTTGTATTCTTGCAACAGTTCACCAGTAGACCTGTTAGAGCAAAGCAAAAAATCATGTATCGTTTCATGAATGTATGGATGTCTTCAAGAGCCAAGAATGCAGAAACCTACCTATCCACAAGTCGAAGGGTTGAGTCAAGACAGCTAGCTAATATACAATTCCCATCGTTAGACAGAGAGATACAGTTCACTGGTTGCCCCAAGCTATCAGATAATTCCCTGGTGAATAACACACAGTACAGTTTCTCATCTCAATATCTTGCAAGTATTAAAGTCTTCATTCAAAATAAAATAGGACCCCAATATTTGCAGTAATGCCACTTACCTACCCATTCGAATGTCAAATGTTCTAACAGTGCCATCAACGCTTCCAGCAATTATTTCAGTTTTTGTCAAACAAACTGACATGACACTGTCTAAAAATGTGCCAATGATCTGCATGTTGATGGAAAAGATTACCGACGAGCAAGGCTTGATATAAGAATGAAAAACATTAATCACGAACAGATTTGACCCAAAATGATTACTCTTGACTATTAAAATGCAAAAGATTATGGCCTGAACAACAAACCAATAGTGGGGTATAAGAGAGGAAACAATCAGCACTTTCCAATGATAACCAGCCAGCAGTCATAGTCACACTACCACATAGATAGCTCACTTTATACATAAACTATATGGAGATTTGTGTTTCTCTGTATACATAGAGAATAAGTCTTCCATGTGGCATGCATTTGTAGGTTAACTCACAATGTTCACATGTATGTTGTGATGACGCGATGTAAATGTAAGTGGCTCACAAATGCATGCCACGTGCCAGAATTAGTCTCTGTACTCTGACCCAAGGCCCAATTTATAAAGTATCCATAAGTTAGACTGTAGTGTGGCCCACAAACATATAAGTCTCCATAAATTTGACCCAATTTAAAGCCTACGCTATAATATGACAAAACCAAACAAATTTCTAACTACTTGGGTCATTGAATATTACACAAAGACACATAACGCTAGCAAAGTATCATGATGTTTTTCACAAAGGCTGGAAAAAATATAGTTTCAATGTCTCATTGCAAGCAGTATAACTGTGCAAGGGGAAGTTACAAGCCTGAATCGGTTCTGTGCTGTGAGATTTGCAGTCCCAAACGCGCAAGGATTTATCATATCCAGCAGATACAACCACAGAAGCATACTCATTAAACTTCACAGCGTTCACCTGGAAATGGCGCAATAAAAGAAAAGTATGAAGTAACAAAAAAGATGCTACTGTTTATCTCAGCTGCTATATATCCGTATACAATTAAAAACAGAAAGCAAAACCATAGAAATACTTCATGCACACCCTGAGACCCAGAACACTTCTAAGAGCATGTACTGCATGTGAAGTTGTGAACTTATAGGTATATTAAGAGACATAAACATTTGGAACTCATACAAACAAGAATATTTTATCTTCTAGTATGTTGTTCAAATGTACTCAAAACATTTATCTTACGCCATTTTTCCCACCCCCAACTCGATTTAAGAGGATACAGTATGATTTCCTGTACCTAGACATTTCTATGTTTCTAAGATATAGGATCACATGCTTTGAGCACATTTTACCAGCATCGTAAATACATCTACTCATGTACATCTTTCTTAAGGCCACACATGCTGCCATTTTGATAAAGCCACCATTTTAATACACACTGGCATGGCAGCATGCTTACAAAAAGCAACCAAAGGGATTTTGAAATACATATACTATCATGTTTGAAATCAATCAAAAACATCTTTTACCTCACTGTCATGGCCCCTAAATTTTCTAATTACACGACCAGTTGAGACATCCCAGTAAAAAATTTGTCTATCTCCACCACAAGAACATAGCTTGGAGTTATCCCTGCATTTGAGAAACCAGTTGAATTCACATGTATGCAAATGTTGCACGTAGATTCATATGAAAATCGCTGCTATAGCACATATGCTACATTTTCATCAGAATTGTAGCATTCAACAACGCTACATTTAATGAGCTATGCTTCAGCTCAAAATACTTCTGTTGTAGTGTTTACTTGTTATAAATTATACACACGTATAATTTTTGTTTGTTTGCGATAATACTTAATATTCAATTATTACTGGTCAATTACAAAAAAATCTTCTTGCTTCAAAGGGAGGTGTGGGCAACTATGTACAAGAAGGAGCGAATAACGAGTAAAATGGGATAAGTACGGAGAAACATGGACGTCTCGGACTTCACGGCCGTGAGATTTGTAGGTCTTGATGTGAATTCCACGATGCGGATTCCATAGTCTGATGGTTCGATCCCTCCCGCAGCTCAAGCAATAATCGCCGTTGCTATTGAACCTGGCGGCCAAAACCGCCCCTTCGTGTCCTCTCAGCACGCATGCTTCCCTGTTCGGCAGTTCCGCCGCGCTCATCGTCTTTCCGGCTGCGAATGGGCGGAAGCCGGGCGGAGGAGCTGCGAAGTAGTTAAGCCCAAACTACTACCTGTTTGGGCCACATCGTCGATTTTGGCAGTTACCTGAGTTGGATTTCGGCACTAATATGGGCTTTTACTTTATTTTACACTCCATTTTATTGTTCAATTTGAACTTTGCACCCAGTTTTTTAAAAAAAATTGTTTTTGCATCTAACCTCACATGAAAAGACAAAAATGTCCTCACCCAAAAATATGTTGAAGGTGAACAAAATTGTTAATGGATGGACATTTTTGTCTTTTTATATGGATTGGGATGCACAAACAAAGTTTTTTAAAAACGGGGTGTAAAGTCCAATTTGCACAATAAAATGAGGTGCAAACTCAAATTACTCCTTTTTACAACTATACAAACACTACTGGATTGCTGGAATGGAAGAAAATACAAATAAAATAAAAGAAGTTGATTTTCCTTGTACAAGCCCGTCATTAATCCAGCCACCCATTTATTTAATGTGTCCAATGTGTTTTTATAATAGGGATAATGGACAATGTGTAAGAAGGGGTGCTTGGGATATATGCTAGGGGAAAATGATAATGTTTTTGTGGCAGTGTGTGTACAACATGCATTCCCTTTTGAAATAACATTGAAATAGAACTCCCAAATAGAATAATGAAAATTTCATGATTGCATTATCAGTGTGTAATTTATTAAAATGAGAAGAAATAGACATAATATTGTATCATGGAAACAAGCTTAGTAGTGTATCATGGGAAAATAAGTTTATGGTTGCAGGAGCGATACAACAACAACAACATCCAAGCCTTAGTACCAAAAGATATTGGGGTCGGCTAACATGAATCGATACATGATATCACAACCAAAAGGAAAAGAAGGAATAAAGATAAAAAGATAAGCTATTATGAAAAGATAATATAAAAAAGATGAATATATATAAAAATGATAAAATAAAAAGGCTGCAAATAATGCATATATATATATATATAAGGATAAAAAAAACTAGGAAAAAAAAGATGAGGGAAAAAGATTATCAAGATCACTCCTTCACGTGAATACTCGCCCTCCACTTAGTTCTCTCCAAAGTCATGCCCTCATCCAACCCCAGAAGAAGCATATCACTTCGAACTCCCCTAACCCACGTCTGTTTGGGTCTTCCTCTCCCTCTCTTCCATGCCTCTTCTCCACACATCTCAACTCGCCTAACAGGTGCATCACTCGGTCTTCTACGCACATGACCAAACCACCGTAGGCGCGACTCCCGCATCTTGTCTTCAATAGGTGCTACTCCCACCCTTTGTCTGATTGTCTCATTCCTCATGCGGTCCTTCCTAGTATGCCCACACATCCAACGCAGCATGCGCATCTCTGCCACACTCATCTTTTGAATGTGACATTGTTTCACCGCCCAACACTCTACGCCATACAATAATGCAGGCCTAATTGATGTCCTATAAAATTTACCCTTCAGTCTAGTCGGCATACCTCGGTCGCATAGAAAACCTGACGCACTCTTCCACTTCATCCACCCTGTTCTGATTCTATGGGATACATCTCCATCTAACTCACCGTCCTTCTGAATTATGGAGCCCAAGTAACGGAACATATCGTTGACTGGTATCTCCTTACCATCCAGAGTAATTCCGCTATTACCACTACTTCTACCTCCACCAAACTTGCACTCCATGTACTCTGTCTTGCTCCGACTTAGTTTGAAACCCTTATTCTCCAATGTTTGTCGCCATACTTCCAACTTTGCTTTAAGACCTGATTGCGTCTCATCAATCAATACAATATCGTCGGCAAACATCATGCACCACGGTATATCGTCTTGAATTGACTTCGTAAGTTCATCCATGACTATGGCAAATAAGAAAGGACTCAAGGCCGATCCTTGGTGCACTCCGATAGTAATAGGGAACTCTTCAGTCCTCCCTACACTAGTACGAACACTTGTAGTACAATCCTCATACATATCCATGATGATGCTGATATACTTGCGTGATATGCCTTTCCTAGTTAAGGCCCACCAAAGAACTTCTCGAGGTACCCTATCATATGCCTTTTCTAAGTCAATGAACACCAAATGCAGATCCTTATGAGCATCTCTATACTTGTCCATAAGTTGACGAAGAAGGTGAATAGCCTCAGTTGTTGAGCGACCAGGCATAAAACCGAATTGATTCTCTGAAATCTTCACAGTCCTTCGAAGTCTTTGCTCAATCACTCGCTCCCAAAGTTTCATGGTGTGACTCATAAGCTTAATCCCTCGATAGTTGGCACATTCTTGTACATCACCTTTATTCTTAAATAAAGGGATAAGAGTACTCTTCCTCCAACTCGTTGGCATCTTGTTGTTTCTCCAAATCATGTTGAAGAAACTTGTTACCCACTCGACGCCTCTCTCTCCCAAACTTCTCCAAGCCTCGATCGGTATGCCATCTGGCCCCATTGCTCTTTTCCGTCCCATCTTCCTCAGAGCTTCTTTAACTTCCGTTGTTTGGATCCTTCTCACAAAATCACGGTTAACCATACAATCTGGTATGGACAAATCGCCGATATCTTGCGTTTTGTTCCCGTTGAATAGTGTATCAAAGTATGACCTCCACCTCTCTTTTATCTCTCCGTCGTCCATTAATATCCTCTGATCAACATCCTTCACACACTTAACTTTTGCAATATCTTGAGTTCTGCGATCACGAAGACGAGCAAGTCTATAAATATCTAGTTCTCCTTCCTTAGAGTCCAACTTTTCATACAACTCCTTGTTCACTTTCCCTCGTGCTTCCCTTACGGCTTTCTTTGCTTGTCTTTTAGCCTCCCTGTATGCTTCTATGTTCTCATCACTCCAATTTGTCCCCAACTTTTTGTAGCAATCTCTTTTGTTCCTTATGGCTTGTTTCACCTCATCATTCCACCAAGATGTGTCCTTTTTAGGTGGTCGACATCCTTTAGATTCTCCAAGTACCTCCTTTGCCACTTTGTTAATGGTCAACTCCATTGATAACCACACATCATCCACCTGTGTTTCATTATCAATACGCCATACATCTTCACCGACCATGGTTGCAGGAGCGATAACATTCAAAAATCAAAATGGAACATAGTACTGAAAAAATGAATGTATTTGAATGTAATAACACAGTTTGGTGAGTCGTGGAATGGTTTGGATGGTTGTGTACTCTTCATCACACTGTTTTGTTGCGTTTCATTGGAGGACTTGAAGTGCTTGTGCTTTCACTAGGTGCAGTGTGATCAGCAGCATTTGCTTCATCCATCTTTATTATGTGCAATGAAGACTCGTGCAAAGATGTTATGATATAAGATGTCTTTGAACTACGAGGTTAGTTGTTTTTTGAACTCCAATTGTCTTGCGAAGACCTTAACTGGACTATGTACTCTTCCTTAGCAATGCGCTTGTTTATGTATGCGCTTGTTTAAGTACAAAAGAATTTCAATGAGTGGTTTCATATAGCATTTAAATCTAGTAGAAAATTAGACTTTGACAAATGACAATGTGTATACTATTCATATTTCTATAGGACCCAAATTCCATAAGAGATTATGCTTCATTTGATGATTTTGTTAAAAAATCTATGACATAGAGTTGGCGAATAAAGTTTTGGGTGACATTTTTTATTAATTTTGCAATGTAGTTATGTTTTTGGCAATAGTAAACAAATGCAAAAACAAATTCAAAAAACAAATATATTTGGTTTCATTAAACGATAATTTAGTTGGGCTGTATTGTGGATGATGTTACCTGTGATACTATTTCCATGACTTGCCTGCTTGTCATAAGCAATAACTTTTCAGCGCACAAGCCAAACATTATTCCACTGACAGATCCTGTCTCATCTTCGATTGTGACATGTAATTTGGCCCTGCTCGAAGGATATAATATGATTTTTTGAGGAAAATGACGTATACTTATGTTGTATGGTGTAATATAAGTGGCGTACTTGCCTTGGAACGCCATAAGCATGTTGTTGACCGCAATTCATGCAGTGAAATATTGTGTCACAACCAGCGTATTTTAATTTGGCACAATGGCTACAAGCAACATACCAGAGGCTATAGTTTTCTAAAACCAACGTGATTGTGCCTTTGATCCAAATAGGCCTTCCCTTTCAGTGTTTATGGATTACACAAATTAGAATGGATAAGCCACATAAATGTAATGGATTTGAAGTAATTTATATCATGGGTTACATAAATTTTTGGGTGATTTATTTCATACGCCGTCAATGTTTTTTACAGTGTAAATGGTTATCAGAAAAAACATGTCATATAGGCATTGGGAGGAATATAGTACATAATAGCAACATACTTGAGGAATGATAGGAGGGACTTTAGCTATTGGAGTGATTGTTTCGTTGTCAGGATTTGCTAGGTGGAACCCAGCATCCAAGAACTCGCGCCCAGCCTTCACAACATCGAGGGTGGACTTGTGGTCAATAGCCCTACACGTAGGTTGATCTTAATCATTCACATGTTATAAGCATATATGTAGATACAACAAATTCCCGTAACGTTAAAAGGGGAAAGAATGGTGTGCATATTCACGCTCAACAATTTATTCGAAGAATTTAACAACAAAACCTTTTTTTCTAAATTATTTATATTTTTGAAACATTTTTCATCTCATATTCACTTTTTGTATTACATAAAAATGTATTTATCATCAAACATTAACTTGTAATATTATCTTGAAATAACTTTATTTTCTCACATCACCAACTTTATTATTAATCACTTCGTATCTCTCAATTAAATCACTTCTCCTAATAAGAATCAAACACAAACATTCCTCTATCTTTCATTGCATATGAGACAGAATGTGTTTATATCTCATTGAGGCTGTCTGATAATAGAAAGACTCTAAGTTCTCAAAATTTGTGAAAGAACCAAAACTGGATAAAAAACAGTGTGACCTAGCTTATTGAGTTGAAGAAATTATTATTTTTGTATTGAAAAATAACTTGGTATAAGTGAATATTAATCATGAGACTATAATTTATTCACTCTCCTAATTTATGAGCGTATTAGTTTTTTCTCCAAAATATTATATAAATTCATAAATAAATAAATTATCATAGTTC